TATCCACTGAAAAAAAATGCAAGTGATCGCGCTGGTGTCTCTATGTCCTGCAAAGCGCGCTTCAGCTTCCACTCTCTGCACAAACTATTGGATACAGTGCACATTTATCTAGGTTTAACGTTTAAACATTGTTATATGCTTGAACTGTTTTATATCTATAGATTTTATTTGAGTCAAGTCGTGATGATTTGAGAAGGCTAAACTGATCAAGCATATGCTCACTGTCTGCCGCTGGCCACTTGGTCGTTACTTTAAATGTGTAACGTTAATTAGGCTATGTGAGTACTGCTCATGTCTGAAAATAATATATGAAAAACTAAATTATTTTACATAAAAACATTAGGCTATAGCTTATATTTATTTAGTACATTTTTAAATTAATGTAAAAACTAAAATGAATTGTAAAACTGAATTTTTTTTTTTTTATTCTGTTCAGCATGGTGGGCCGCATTTCAATTCGTGATGGGCCGCATGCGGGCCGTGGGTTGAGAACCACTGTTATAAACCCATGGTGATTTCCCAATCAAGCTTCATGTTTTTGTCAGCCCACAGTCAGTCCAGTCCCTTCTAAAGGCAAAATGCCTTGCCAAACCACACTAATCGAGAATCAGGATGGTTTGTATCGTATGTCATGTTAGTGTAGGGCAGCCACACCTTTTGGTTTGCTCAGCCAGGTGAGTCAGTGTTGAAACATCAGGTGGGGCTGACACACGCACGCACACACACACACACACAGATCTGTTAAGCATTTACAAGAAAAGCGGATGGTACAGTGAACTCCAGTGCAATGTTTTGGCAAGCCTGAATGACTTTACTTGGGCCAGGTTCATAACTAAGGGGTTGGTCTGGATACGACCATCTGTTATCACAGCTAGCCGTTGCAGTAAGCTAGACTGTGTGCATTTCATATAGGTATTTGCAACCAGACTTGGTAGCATATGCAAACTTCTACCAAGCAGAACCATCTGGTTTTGTCTTCAAAGCAGCAAAACGGTAGTGATGTGTTTTGTCTTCCACATTCAAAAGTCTGAGACCGTTCCAGTAAAAGGAAGAAGCAAAGGAAATGGCTTTTGTCTTCCTCCTCCAAAAACGATGACTGTGATGTCATAAAGGAAAGGCCAGCAGTAGCAGCTTTACTGAATGAGACCCCTGTGTCCCCCTTCATCCTGAAGTCACGTAATGACCATTGTGCTCATGAGTATTTTTGGGCTGAGAGTTAAAAGCATGTCACTCAAGAAGCTTGTGAGAATTCGGTGTCAGTCTTTCATGGAGCGCAGCTCCCCCTGAGAGGTGAGGGGGGAGGAACCAGCAGCCAGTTCTCAAAGTCAAATATTGATTGGTTGCCTAGCAACTGATCCCCAGTGAGTCCTGGAAAGACAGGCCTGATTGCAGTCATAGCAACATTGCCTACCCAGGAAGTGAAAAATAACTTCCTGATGGTGTCACACTGCAAGTTTTGTATCACTTTAGAGTTGCTCGCAGCCAGCTGCTTTATTAACTTATTAAAGGTAATCTGGTACATGTTATTTTTTTATCAGAACAATTGTCATTTTATGATTTGTTGCCATGGGAATAAATAGTGTTGATTTGATTTTCTTATCTTTAATAAATTACTTTTTTTTTCTTTATAGCCAACATAATGAAGTGGCAGCTTGAAATGAAATGAAAATAAGATGTGATTTTGAAAAAACTCTTCGATAAGTGTTTAATAGCACTCTTATCAGTCATTAGGTCTTTGATGAGGCCCTACCACCCCTTTCTGAAATTGACTGGATGAAAAGTCATTCCACAGACCATCAGAGTTCTCCTGGATCTGAGAACATGAGACCCTTTTGGAATCCTGAAGATGTACTTTAAAGGGATAGTTTGGTCTTTTAAAATTTGGTCATTATTGACTGACAAGCTCTGAAAAGGACATATATATACTATAATATAAGTATCTCTTGAAGTCATACAATAAGTTTGTGTGAGGAACAGTCTTAATGTGTTAACACTTTTAAATGTACCAATGTGCTGGACTAAAAGAGTAAATGTTACATTTATTTAGTTCTGGATCCATTTAGTTCTGGACTCGTTTCCGACTCCTGTACGGAACTGAACATAGCTCCTGAGATGGGAAGAACCAGGTGTGCTTGAACATTTTTTCCAACCAAGGTTCATATGGCAGCGTTAACTTTTATTCAAATGAACCGCACTAACAGAGCAATCGCACGAGTTAAATTTAATCGAACCAAATCTGCCAAGTGTAATTGCACCCTGAGACATTGTGCACTGATGGTTTAACCTTCCCCTGAAGTTCATGTCTAGCCCGCGTTCTTCTGCAGAATTCCGGAGCGGGTCGAATTTAGGTCTTTCCCTCTCACAATTTGTTTTATGACTTCAGAAGACTTAAAAAATAGTGCTATAGAACTTTATTTTATTTATTTATTAAAACTTAACAGACTGCCAATGCCAAGAGCTGCGTAACAATTCTTAAACTTTTACTTGTTCATTAGAAAATAACAGAATGTTAGAGTCGGTCACTTCTCCTTGCTCTCATTTTTGAACATCCTTTCTGCCATTCTCCAGAACACAATCAACCTTCTCTCACATGACCACCCAAAGTAATGAAGAATCGTGTGATTCGTATTTTTTATTTTTTTTTTGTTGGTCCCAGTGGTTCATTGTGAGTGGCATGATTGTGCAGGCAACTGAATGGATGAACTGGAATTCATAATGTTACATGTGAGGTCCGCTTGTGATCAGATGTATATATTTTGGTCACACAGCTCCAATTTTCAGTTTCAACTTCAAACCAGTTCAGTGACCTTGAAAGTCTGAAAGCACCATTCCCAGTGCATTACAGTGTTGTTTAATTGCACATTGGACACAGCACAATGTGAAGTAGAAGTCATTTAATGTTTGTATGTGTTGCTATAGGATTATCATTCTATGTCCTACTTTTGAAGTCATTTCTGTTTACATCCCTCTCTGTGGCAGTGCAGTCAGCTGAATAAGCGATCATGCGCTTTAAATAAGGCATGGAATGTGTACACAGCGCCCCCTAGGATAACTAACCTAAATGTTTCCAGAGCTCTATTAGATATAGGCACGTTGTCATTTGATGATTTAAAGGGGTGGGCCACTGTTTTTTTTTCTAGGCTTGATTGTGTTTATGGGGTGCAGTTTAACATGTTAATGCTTAGTTTTTAAAAAAACACATTATTTTTCACATAATTTATCTTTATTCCACACCGCTCTCCCTTCTCTGAGAAACGGGCTGATCTTTTCCTGTTTTTATGAAGCTCCTCCCTCAGAAATATGCGATGGGCTCTGATTGGTTAGCTAGCCCAGTGTGTTGTGATTGGCTAAGCCACCTCTAAGCGTCCCGCCCCTCACCTCAGCGGCATGTGCTTCCGTTGTATTGTAAACAACGGCGTCGCTAATATTGCTTATCAGTTTGAGCCCGATTGAGAAGCAGAGGATATTATTGAAGAGGATCGTGCAGAACCTGTGCAAGCACGACTTTTAATGGTAGGCCTATGTTTTTTGTTTGTTATTGTCTCATACTTTTAGATATGCGGTTATTTGTAAATGCTAATGCTTATGTTAGCTTTAATATGCTATTTTATTCTGATTAAAGCTTTAATACAGTCCGGCAACTGCAGGCGCGTCCATGTTTAACGCTTCTCATAGCCATGTGAAAATGTGTATAATTGGAACAGTTCATTGTTGGAGGTGAGCTGAATGAGAGCGAGAGAGAGAGAGATGCAGAGTAGGGGAACGCGAGGAACAGTATAACAGGTTAAGAACCGCTGCTTTAGAACAATGATTTTGAAACTTGTGAATCCATCAGAATCCTTAGATTTTTACGTGCACCCCTAGTTTTCTCTTCCTCTTCTCTAAAGCAGCGCAGCATGGCCTCGCCCCCTTTGCAGCCTTTTCCCGAGGGTGGGGTTTATCTGGGTTTGTGATGTCACGCACCCGGGAAGTAACTCGTTGTAGTCCCTACCAGCTGTTTTTGTAGGCATTAAACTGCCAACATTTTAAAAGACGATATCTCCGTTTGCATTGAACTTTCAGCTTCGTAACTTTGCAGATATTGTTTATGCTCAAACAGCAACATTACACACTAACTAACGTTAAAAAAATTAAAATCGCAATCACCCACCCCTTTAAGTACAAATGTTCCTGCTAGCATCACTGTACATGAGAAATTAAACTTAGTTTCTTGCGTCTCACTGGATTCCTTGAAAGAATCTGCTCTTACAGCTTTTTACTACAGACAGTAAGAAAGTATCACTGTAATGCGGTTAATTAAAATGCTTCACTGACGTCATCATGGTCACTATTCTTTAGTTGCTGCTCACCGTACTCTGAATGCATATTCTATTAAAAATTTGTACATGTAAAATGATGTATGCATGCATGTATGTATAATTTATATATAAAATAATTCACTTATATTTGGTTTTTTGTTTATTTTTAAATTAATTATTAGACATCATGTGAAAATAACTATCTACAGAAAATCGGACAGATTTTTTATATCTGAATTTTTTTTTTATATCTAAAAATAAAAGAGTATAGGATAATTTTTTCCCCCTTTCTCTTTAAAGTGAACTTCCCCTTTAAGCAATCACTTAATGAAATGTAATGAAATAGACTATTGACTGCAAGCAGCTGGCCTTGCAGGAAAAGGTTTGATTAATGACTCTCTGTTCTAGTATCTGCTCTTAAATTTTGGCTCACACGTCACACCTATGCTTTTTTGTAAAAGCAATAACACTTAAGTTAGGCATGTCAATTGAGGTTATGTAATATATGAACAGAGTTTCAAAAGATTAAGTCATTCATATTAACCACAAAACGCCAAGGCCACTTCCCAGTTTGTCTGGTTCTGAAAGAAGGTTAAACAAAACAACCTGTACCTTCGATTCATGATAATTGTGTTCTGATCGCAGCATCATCGGAGAATGTAGGTGTGCATATGAACTCATCATTTGAATGTGGTGTTCTAGGTATGGAATCAGGCCAGAGAACGTGATAATTTATGGCCAGAGCATCGGTACGGTCCCTTCAGTAGATCTGGCCTCTCGGTATGAGAGCGCTGCCGTCATCCTTCACTCCCCTCTGACCTCAGGCATGCGGGTGGCTTTTCCTGATACCAAGAAGACGTACTGCTTCGATGCATTCCCCAAGTGAGTCTCTCTTTTACCTTAGACTTGCTGTCTTTTCCTATTTTCTCATGTTTACCACAATCACATTCTTTCCCCTAATTTGTATAGTACCTCATACCAATTAGAGACATACTGCTCGTTTCCACGTTTTGCTCTGAGCAGCCATGTTGCGGAGAAGGCGCCTGGCTGGTTCATCTGTTTTCGGCCCCTTAGGCATTGTTGTTATTGTGTGCCCTCTAGTGACACATATTTTCCAACAAGTATTTCAGTGTTGGTTTATTTTATACCTGCACTACCATTCAAAGGTTTTTAAAATAAATGAATACTTCTACAAGATTTTGAAAAATTTATAAAATCAAAAGTAACAAAGACTTTTATATTATTAAAAAAAAACTTTTCAACATTGATAGTAATAAGAATTTTTTCTTGAGGTTTGTTAAATTCTACTGTGCAATCATAGGAATAAATTAGATTTTAAAATGTATTAAAATAGCAAACAATTATTTTAATAATAGTTTTACAATATTTTACTGTATTTTTGATTAAAAAAAATTAAGCCTTGGTGAGCATAAAGGACTTCTTTCAAAAACAATTAAAGAATCTTAACAACAAAGATCTTTCATATCTTTTTTTTTTTTTTTGCTCTTTGTCTCATGTAGAAATTAATTTACAGATCACAATGTGATGAGTTAAACAACATTGTACTAAAGAACACTCTACTCATGTGTTTATATATATATATTATTCCCCCCCCCTTCAGCATTGATAAAATCTCTAAAGTCACTTCTCCGGTGCTGGTGATCCATGGTACGGAGGATGAGGTGATTGATTTCTCCCATGGGCTGGCCCTGTACGAACGTTGCCAGCGGCCCGTGGAGCCGCTGTGGGTGGAGGGTGCGGGACACAACGATGTAGAACTGTATGGACAGTACCTGGAGCGCTTGAAACAGTTTGTGGCTCACGAAATTGTAAATTTATAGATGGACCTCAAGATCAGGACTCGCCTTACTTGATGAACATACCCCTGGTGCCCAGCAGGCGACTGTGAACTTGACAGCAATTATTCTAATTAAGTTGCACTTCTCCATGCTATAGAGAAAATAGGAGATGTGTCTTTACTGCCTTTCTTAGGGGTGTGTTTGTGTAACTACTTCTACAGACGTGGGCGGAGGACTCGGATGTTTCGGTGACCCGACTGTGTGTCTTGATAGTATGTACTAAAGTATCAAACCCATTCCATTTATGTCCAGTTTTTGTTTTGCTGTATGCATGTGATCATATACACAATGGAGTACTGTACAAATGCAACATTCTAATACAAATAATTGCCATACAGGTGATGCCAAATAATATATTAAACTTTAATACATTACTTTGTATGTACATGTTTCTCAAAACATGCCTGCTTAAGCACAATGTGTGCAATCTGTATGACATTTTGGTATGTTTCTTTTTCTCCATGTCCTCACACTTGTCTGTTTTGCTCTTAAGTGTATTCTTTAAAACAATGCTGGACAATAGGACAGTGATATCGGTTTTAACTTTCAAATAAACAAATACGCTTTTCAAAATAAAGAAACACTTTATAATTTTGGCTTACAATAGCTGAAAGTATACACACACCTGCTCAAACAGAGCAATGGCGATATTAGTAACAGTCCATTTGTTATCTGCTTGTTGCACTTTTTTTTAATGGAAATCCATCAGACCTCTTGATTACACATATACTGAACTTAACACTTGTTTCTGTTCAGAGTCATTGCTTTGCCATTTAGTCAAATATAATTTATACCATCTTGTGTCTCAGATGAAATGCACACAACTTTTGTTGTTGTCTTGCGCCATGATAAGGCTGTTACTTTAGACACTGCTGCTGAATTCAGGCAGTGACATTTAGTTTCTCTTTAGAGAACCACTGGACACGGTGAGGAGAGTTTGGAAGGATGTGATTTAATGTCTGTATATGGAAAATTAATGATGCTCTAAAGTAGATCTTGGTACTTCTCAAATGTAAAAGAAAACTTTCACCCTGTTCCACACTTTGTAAATAACCTTAGTTTGAATGGGTTTTTTATTTCCTGTACTATGAAACTGGTGATAATGTTGTTATTACCACTGTAAAGTGATTTATTATTATATTATGTATGGCACAGAATAGATTTTAACTGGTCAGACTGAAGCACAAACTGACGTGCTTCAGTTTTTCCAGATGTGTTGTTTTTCTGTTTTTCTAAACACCCATTGTAAAAGAAAATTGCTATACTGTATGTAATTATGATCTTAGATATAATACAAAATTGGAAATAAAGATGTATTTCAGAGACTAAAAAGCTTAAAGAATTAAAATCCAGTTGTGGTAGTCTGGACTCAGATTTTTTTTTTTTTCTTATGTGTGCTGATCTGCAACATGTAATTTAAAGCTACCTCTTGTGGTCATAAATCAGCAACATTTTCTTTCAGAATTATGTTTTTAATCAAAACACAACAATGTTTACAGTCCTATCTGTTTAGGAACCATGGTGGTTTCTGTTAGGATCGCGGTATGGTCTTTAACTTTAACTTTTTATGATGGGAAATTGATAAAGATCTTAGTGAATCTCAGACAGAACTTGAGCTGTCTTTTTTCTCATCTTTCAGAGTGGCATGCATTTGCATGAATTGCTTTTAATATTGATCCTAACCTTTCATATGTATTCGCTTTTCAAGACCATTTTAACTGCAGAGGTCAACTGCACCTCCTGGGCTCAATGACCGTTAAAGCATGGGGCTTTGAACATGAAGTTAAGAACACATGTGACCCATTCTTTTTAGGGTGGGGTAATGTTAAAGACAAGGCACTTAAATGGATTCAAAGGGTGAGAACAGAAAACAGGACAAGACAATTAAGTTTCTATATAGACTTTTTATAAAATGTCACCAAATAATTTAATAAGTTGATTAATGTTGTTAAATGGTTATGGATGTTACAGTGAGAATTAGGCTACATATTGTCATCATGTAGTTAAAACCCTTTGCTGCTTCCTACAAGTGTCAAGTCATGAACAAGTACAGAATCTAACAATGTTAGATGTAATTTTTTAAAAACTCCATATGTCACGCGCACACCCGAGGATCCCCATTGGACTGCAGTGATGCTCACTCATAACTTTTGTATGAAGCAGATAAGTAGTGGTCTTCCTCTAGGGGTCGCATGGGGGCTCAGGAAGGCGAATCCTCCATTGAGTCGCATTCAAAATCTCAAGGACGAGTTTAATCGTATTGGAGACATTTGTACAATAAAAAGTGTATTGTTTAAAATGTATTAGATTCAAAGATTCGTGCCTGCCATGCAGATGAAAATCTGCCACATCAAGCTCTACTAACTAATAAAAAAAAAAGATTTAATCAGTAATCACAAACGACTGTGATTGGTCAATTCTTGCCAGCGTTGAGAAAAGCAAGCAAAGTCTGGCTCATTTCCCCGAATCGATTCCTAAGTTCACTTCAAAGAACTCAACGATTCCGTGATTCCTTACGTCCGAACGTAATTACGTAATAACGTGGTCCCTACACCTTAGCGTGGCATATTACTTGCTCTAAAACAGCCAAAAAACAAAGGCAGTCATATTTTTCTATTTATTATACGTTTTTCGATTTTTGAGCCACAATATATATATATATAATGTATATTTACATGAACAATATTAAACTTAATTTACATTTCTCAGCATGCTGTTTTTAGCATATTTAATAAAAATGTCATTTATTAATAACAACTGTTCTAATAAATATTATAGCTACACTTTTCGCCTCATCAATCTTCGTTTCACTGCTCAGGTCTTGGTTTCATATACAGTCAAAGGGCTGTGTTCGAAATCGCCCCCATACCCTTAATTAGGGCACTATTTGAGGGAATATCCATTTTTAGTGGTGTCCGAATCTATAGGCTTTGTCCAAATACCCACACTTGCAGTCTTTGCACTTGACCACTTGATTACTTAAATTACATATTTCCTGTATTTGGCCGAAGTGTTCAAGTGGATGTGAAGACCATAAGTGTGTGTCGAACTTTTCATTACCTGATGGGACACACTTGTAGTGTTGTAAAAATGCAAGTGTTTACACAGCTTTATTTTAATTTTAATTTGAAATACTTTGCATTTTAAAATCAACTTCTAAATGTCTGTTCAGTAGTCCCTATAACATGACATAATTTTAATTTGTGGTGCTTCTAATTCAATTATAAAAAGCAGTTGCAAATGTTGTACAAAATAAATATCACCACAACTCATCTTTGCACCAATAAAAGTAAAAACACTGTTTTTCTACCAAATTATTTATATTAATATTTAACTTACATTGGAAAGGTTTCCGTGACCTCTCGCGAGATCTCGGCAAAAAGTCTCACGATTTATTTCCAGAACATGATGCATGATGGGATACACTTAGCCTTGAATAGCGCTCTGGAGCGGTATTCGAGATAGTGTGGATTTAGTGTCCATTAAGGGCACTGCACTTTGGCATTTTGAAGACATGGGACAGACTTAAACACTTACTTCCTGTCGTGCGCACGCGCTCTCAAGTGGCCAAGACCGCAAGTGTGGGGCTGCGTCCGAAATCGCATACTGGTATGGTAGGTACTACATTTAAATTTGAACGTACTACTCGACCGTTAAAACAGTACGTTCAATATAGTATGAATGGAATTCGGACGTACTACATCCGCCATGTTGATGTTGTCACGTGACATGCGTCTTCACAAGAGCGCCAAAATTTAAAGAGCCCTCACTACTGCACGAACATCAGCAATGTTTTACGCAATTCTTACCACTTTCATCGGCGTTTTAACGTTGATTGAATCAGCAGCTCAGAGGAGGCGTCGGTGAGCTGCGCGCAGATCACGCCTTCGTCGACAGCTTGTAAATTATTTATCAAATAAGGTAAGTACAATCACCTATTTAGCTACTAAATTTGACCTCAGAATAAAAAGTCATGTCTGTGAACACCATGACAGAATCTCATTTGGAGCAACGAAATAAAGTAATTTATTGTTATAAATAAATGCATAAAAATACACAGGACAAACAAATGACATGAATTAATGAATAAACTTGAATGAATACATAATACACAATTAGATAAATAGAGAGAGAGGGAGAGAGAAT